GGGGAGCAGCGAGAGGATCTGCTGCAGGCTCTGTTATGGAACTCTCTCTTCTCCGGTGGATTCTTACGCCTTCAGTCAGTCTCAAAGCAGCAAGTACTTATAGTCTTGTCACACATCCACCTTCTAACATAGGACCATACCAGTGTGGGTGTTTTGTTTTGGTGCTTTTATGAGGTAGGGTCACACCGTGTAGACTGGGCTACCCATAAACTCTTGTCACCAGGCTCCTGTGTGTGTTTAAGGAATTTTATGTTTTCTACCCAAATATTCATATTTTGGACTTTAGGTATTGCAAACATCTTTACACTGAGTACTTGCATTGTGGTTAGTGGCCCAGGGAACTGTCTAGGCTATCTTATACAGTTAGTTCCTGTTAAGAGTCTGCTTGGTCTCAAGAATTCAACCCAACAATGCCAGGATTAAGGCTGGGAATGATTTAGATTTCTGGTGGGTGTGGTTTCTGCTAGATTGGATATATATTAAAGACTAAAAAGTACGTGGCATGAATTCCAGAGGAAAATGAAGGGAGCTGCAAAACCAATTACTGGGCAGTCAGAGTTGAAGAGAGGAATAAACATGAGTCCCGCAAACAGGGAGACAGACAGGCACGTATGACAGCAATCACCTAGGCTGGGTTGAGTGTTTAAGAATCCCTACCCATATCTAAATCTATGTTAACGACCACTATATACGGCAACACAGTGATGTTCATAATTTACCAACAGAAAGTTATCATACGCCATGGGTGTGCTATGCTGCTCATCCATGTATGTACACGTGGGAGCCAAGGGGTCAATGCTGGGTATCTTCCTTTATTCATCTCCACCCTATTTTTTTCTCACTGACCTAGGAACTCATCATTTTGGTGACACTAGTAGGAAAGTCTCCAGAGTACACCTGTCTCCACTGGTCAGAGATGGGGTTAATTGGTATATACTACCCTTCTTAGCTCTATGTAGGTGCTGGGCACCCAAAGAGATCCTAATGCTTGTGCACTAAGCACTGTGCCCAATGGTCATCTCTATAGCCTCCAAATGATTTTATTCTTAATTTTACTTATTACTTATTTATTGAGACAACTACCTCACTTTGTAGGCCTGACTGGAACTCACCATATATACCACGCTGACTTCAAATAATACAGACCTCCCTGCTTCTGCTTACATAGTGTTGGGATTAAAGACAAGTGCCTCCAAGCCCAGCAAAAATGTTCTTGTAAAAGAATGAGATGCTTACTACCTTCTAGAAAACTCATGAAAAGGCATTCTTTCTTTCTTTTTTCTTTTCTTTTCTTCGAGACAGGGTTTCTCTGTGTAGCCCTGGCTGTCCTGGAACTCACTCTGTAGACCAGGCTGGCCTCGAACTCAGAAATCCGCCTGCCTCTGCCTCCCAGGTGCTGGGATTAAAGGTGTGCACCACCACTGCCCGGCCTGAAAAGGCATTCTTAATGTGCTTCTTTAACTTGTTTAGAAGTTAAAGAACCTACTATGAGCTAGGCATGGCAATCTCAGTACTTGAGAAATAGTGACAAAGATGAGGATCAAGGGTTTAGACCAGCAGGATTTTTCTATCTCCTCCTACAGGAAAGCCTGTCTCAAACAACAAATGTTAGGACTGAAAAAAAGTATCAAAAATGACCATAGTGGAGATGAAGGATAGCTGAAAAGTTAACAACATACACTGCTCTTGCAAAAGACCCTATTTCAGTACACAAATCCAGGCCAGGAGGCTATCATCTGTACCTCAGGTGCCTAAGAGCACCTGCAACACATGTGAGCATCCCCACACATTCACATACGCACATAATTTAAGACCAGGAGTTCAAGGCCATCTTCAACTACATAGCAATTTCATGTCTAGCCTGGACTACACAGGGCCTAAAAAAAAAAGAAGGGAGGAACAGAGACAGAGAATCTATAAAGTTACAATTCAAATATTTTTCCACTATGGGCTTATTACATGCTCTTGAAATCTGGAAGTTACAAAGGAGGAGATACAGAAACCAAAATTGAGTCTTAAATGACTCAAATTTTATTTTCAAGGATATTTCTAGAAAGTTTGAGTTTGGAGAAATGGCTCAGCAGCTAGGAACACTTGCTGCTCTCCCAGAGGACCTAGATTCAGTTTAGAGACACGGTGGACATAGGTGCATGTAGGTACTCACACATAAATTTTGAAGAAAAATAGTTAATGTAACACATTTTCAAATTAAAACTAAACAAAACTCAACAAAAATTTTTAGTTACGAATCTGTTCACTAAAATTTACTTTGCATTCCACTAATAGTATTATATGACACCTCTTAAATATTCGCTATTTTTTGTTTTTTGAGACAAGGTTTCTCTGTATATTCCTGGCTGTCTTGGAACTTGCTCTGTAACCAAGGCTGGCTTCAAACTCAGAGATCTATCTGGCTTTCAAGTGCTGGGATTAGTGGGTTAAAGTGTGCCACCACTGTCCAGCCCAGCAGGGTATATTCAGACAAGGCAGTGGTGGCCAGAGCCTTTAATCCCAGCACTTAGGAGACAGAGGCAGCAGATCTCTGAGTTTGAGGCCAGAATTCTCGGACAGTGGGAGTTATTCAATCGCCCTCTATCAAAAAAGTTCAGATGGGCATCAACTTTCTTAGTACACTGTTAAGTAACAGAGGGTGGAATAACCATAATAAAATAAAAACAATAATATAATATGGTATTATCTATCTAAAGACTAGGTTATAAGAAGATGAAATTACAAGAGAGGCCAATGGCAGCCCACAGGCTTGTGCAGACCTTTCAAACGTTTTCTAAGACTAAGTATGTGATCCTTTAAAATAGACAATGTTAGTGGATATTCTAACTAAATACTACAGAATAACATGGTTTTGATTGTTTTTGTCAGACGCGGTTGAGCAAAATGTTGTCCAGGGTTCTACTGTTGTTCTTTTCCCCATACACCAATCTTTATTCATTCAGGAACTTACCATCAGCTTCTAGAGGAATACATGTCACACAGTAGGGACAAAAGGGATAACCGACTATAATAACAGCAAACACAACAGAAGCTAGCAATTGTGAGACAGAATCTTACTACTTGATCACAGGCATGCTCCAAGCTCGGGATCGCAGCCTCTCGAGTATAATATACTCTAGTATAACAGTACAAGCCTGCAACCTGACAAATAGCTAGACCAGGAATTTGCTTTATCCAGATGCACATAATATCACCTGTGAAGGTTTTAATTATTTGTTTAGATACAAAGGGGAATCTCTTAAGTGACAAAAGAATTACTCTGAAGGAATTACTAAGAATTCATCTTTTGTATTCATCTCCAGAAACAGAAAATGCCAATAAACAAGGAGAGTTGGCTAATAAAGAATTCTGCCAGGTACAAATGGGCAGTTATCTTGTTCATTTGTAATCTTATTCTTGTTCATTTATAATTAATTTGGACAGGGTCTCAACTATATAACCCAGGCTAGCCTCCAACTCTTTATCTTCCTATCTCAGCCTCTCAAATGGTAAGGAATACTAGCATACACCCACACACTGACCTTATACTAATTTTAAAAATAAATTAGTATTCTGTGTAGCTATTACTTACAAACATTTGTATATACTCCATCTACTTGCTTTACAGAGATTCTACATGATCCTCCTATGTCAAAATATAACAGAGCTATCTAGGCTTCCTAACTAACACCAATTAGAAAAATACCCATGACTAGATAAAGCTTTACTTTACACTTAACTGTCAAGTTCTCATTTCCCTGATCAAAAACTATGACACATCAAATGCCTTAAGAGAAACTAAATGGGACTTCTGAAGTTTTGTACTCAAATATAATTCAGAAAACAAAATTCCTTTTGGTGGGGGGCTATCTGCTACTATTACATGGGTATCTGTTGGCCTTAAAACACCCTCTTTCAAACTCTAATAAGTGTTTAAAGCCAAAATATATTCTAACTGAAATTTAATAGTACCTAACAGGAGCACTAAGCAGCCAAAAACCACAATTTTATCCCAACACTGATAATCAGAAATCTAACTATATCCATGACAAAAACCAAATAACTCAAACATTAAACTGTCAACAAAAATCAAAGCTGGGCAGCCTCAACTCTCACACACGCCTGACTTCCATTAACCACCTGCCTGGAAAGACCTGACTCCCATTGCATCACCAGCAGAGCTTACAGGGTGGGTGGTATTATACACATGTGTAGCCTCAGCACTCACAGGACAGGAAGACTGTGGAGCTGGGCAGTTAAGACAAACACTGAGGATTCACAGTTACTCTGGTAACGCACTCTCAGTAATATAATTGGTTTATCATACAGTACCAGGGTTGTTTACGTTTTAAATTACAAATGAGAGAGATTAAAATAAGGTTGACTACGGTCTCTTTGGAGCTGCTATGTCTCTCTGAGCCTTTTCCTTTTCTTCTACCTTTTTTTTTTTTGAAATCTGGGCATACTTCCATGACACTTTTTCTAAAAATTTCTGCTCCTTCCTTATAGCTGCTTGCTGAACGTGCCGGGACCTACCGCAGGCACAGCTTTGTGCTCTTCTTTTCTTTTTCTCTAAAATGCTTAAAACAAAAAAGAAAGGAAGGTATATTATTTTTACAACTTTTCATTCTGTAGAACAGAGACAAAAAAAAAAAAACAACCCATTTTTAACAAAACTGAGAAATCTTTTTACATGTGCCCCAATATCTATGAAGAAGAAACAACTGTGAAGTCTGACTTTCTTTCGTATTTGGAAGAAGGAAGGACAGAAACACTGTCTTTCAAATACAAAGCATGTAAGCTGGCTACATATACTCTTTTAAAAGCTCACTCATGGTGAACATACACTATCATTATGACAAAAGGAAATGGGAGCAAAGTTCTTCAAAGACTAACTCGAGTATATAAAAGTAGAATTGGAAAACTCGTCCCTCCCTAGCTAAACAAAAGCAGTTTACTACTGCACCAGTGTGTATTTTCAAGCAAATACAGAAGAAAAACTCATTAGCTCTTTTAAAAATACACACATTTAATGTTGGTCTGTTTTAATTCTAAGTAAAGCAATTTCAAAAATACAAACTGAACATCAGAGCCATGTGAACCACCATGATAAAAGAAAACAGACATTCACAATAATTACGTCTAGAGACAGTTCAGCTTGATAAGTTGTCTTCCATGTATCTTAAAGAATTACTAAAAATACTGCTGGTGTTCAGTTAAAATTAAAGGACTTTGGGAAAAATGAAATATGATACAGCTGGAGTGAATCAGGTTACACGGGAATTACATTTTCCATTACCCCTAGATATAAACAAACATTCAAAAATTAACACAATCTCTGTGTTATTCAAAATATTGCAGCTGCAAGAAAGGCAACTTTAAATTAATAGCTAGGGGAAATCAAGTTTTGGTGGAGGTGAACAGAAGTGACAGTTTGTAATTTGCACTTTCTAAAGCTCATTATACCTGGTCATCCAGGAACCAAAAGCAGGACAAGAAGTTCTCTGCTTCTTTTGGCTACAATGTGACAAGAAAAATCATCTTTTGAAGATGCTTAAAGAAATAAAGCATGTGTCTTTAAAAAATAGTCAAATAATCAATTAATGGAATAAATAAGCACTAACCACAATTTTAGTATTCTGTCATTAACATACGTCACAGATTTCTTCATTTTGGCAGAAATTTCCCCAATTTTTAGTCTAAAATCCACCAATCATTATAAAAGTGAAATGAGGAGCTACCAAAATAATATTCTTCTGTTTACTCTTTGGCTAAGAAAGAAAACAACAAGATAAAAACAAAAACAAAACAAAAAACAGAAGACAACTCTAACACTGGTGATAAAAGAAACTTTTTTTTAACATGTAAAATAAAGATATCAATTTAAAATCTTGGTACATTTTATAAAAACAAGAGGTAATGTTGTAATAAAACAGCAGTTAGCCTCAGCTAGCAACATACTGTTTGTTAACCCTGTGCAATAAAAGACTTTGTTCATACTACGCTTACTCAAACATGACTAACAATTAATTACTACAGACATTTCAGGAGTCTTCACCGGGCTCCTACAGACTTACTGTTAAAAGTGAGACATTTACAATCATAATGTGCCACAATAACTTGAAAACGTCACTTCTAATGGGAGATGATGTAGATATCACTCGAATTTGTTTTAGGTATTCAACAGCTCAGTTACAATGACTGAAAAGCACTCTAAAAGCCCATGAACACTGTTGTTCACACCCTTCTTCAGTACACACTACATTTGTTTGACACATTTCTCTTCATACATAGCAAGCAACAGCACCCAATAAACGCCTGAGAAGAAATGCTGCTGTGTAAATACTGCAACTATTCCTGAAATAAGAATTATGGGATGTATACTCCAAAGCTGCCCATTCCCATAATTGTATTGCATAGGTCACATAATCACACACATATATATACACATATGTGTATATACATGTACATGCAAAGAATATATTAAGACGACAATGAAGTCTAGTCACAGAGCAATTTACAGGCTCAATATATTTTTTACATTTTGCTTGAAAGAAATTTCAATATTTTACAGTCTTTCAGTAGACATTATATACACTACACTTTATGAAATCTAAAGGGTATTGAAATAAATCTTTCCAACATTTTGGTAACAAAACACACAATGTTTCTCCAAATACTTGTGCTATCTACATGATCTCTTTGCTCTGATAACCACTAATCACAAAAATTGACTCAATGGAATAATTATAAAAAGTATCTAACACCATGCATGGGTTTGAATCATGTTTAATATCCTATCCTAGAAACAGTCTACAAATCTTAAGATTTAAAAAAATTAAGTCTCCTCTGATTTTTAAAAGATATCTTTTTATGACAATATCCGTAACATTGACAAGTACATGTTAAGGCCAGTATCATCTCCTTTTGTGAATATTTTTGTGTTTTCTCTGTTTCTTTTTCTAAGAAAGATAACAAAACCCACATTCTTTCTTCTTCTTCTTCTTCTTTTTTTGAACTGTACCAACAGAAATGAATGCAGCGACCATAACGTTCAGTCCTACAGTCAGGATGCAGTTGCTCCTTCCCACTCCACAAGATACTGCACCTTGCCATCAAGTGTCACCCGACGAGCCAAAACTCTGTATTTTTCGCCACATGCTATTCTACCTGCGGCACCAAAATAACTAGTGATGGAGTTTTTCAGGTGATTGAGCTGTAACTCCTGATCTGCTAAGTTATTCAGGATTTCTGTGTTGAGTTCTTCAAACTGATAATCTTCTTTGCCTTCATCATCTTTTACAACTTCTGAGTTCTGAGTCTGGAGTGCTCTTCGTGGAAGCCGACCTCTTCTTCTCCGCAAATGTGGTATTGCAGCAGGCCACGGTCTTCCTGTTCGAGTTCTTTTTCTAGAGTCAGATAATCTAGGGTAGGGAAAAGAACACGTCTCCTAAGATCTTTTTCACTTGGGCATTTTTTCCCCCCACACAGGTTCTCATCTTATAAACTAGCTAGCAGACAGAGTCTCATAATCTCCCTGCCACAGACTCCCTAAGGAGTCTATTATAAGTATGTGTTTGCAGAGATAAAATTCAGTCCAATTCAGACAATAAAAGTCACTGGCACTGTGTTGCTGCCTTCCTTTATACAGAAGTCATCACTTCCTGGGGATTGATCTTTATACAGTTTTTCTTCCTTTAAGTGCTCTTAAGTTAAAAGAGTCAGAGCAAAGCTGGCAATGAGGCTCAATAACAAAGAGCCTGCCTGGCACACACAGGCCCTGGCTGCAGTAACTAGCACCACTAAGAAAGAAAAAAACCAACTCAGCCAGGTGGGGGTCTCATGACTTTAATCCCAACACTCCAGAGGCAGGCAGATCTCTGAGCTTAAGGTCACCCTGGTTTGCAGAGAGAGTTTCAGGAGAAACCCTGTCTTGAAAACCAAGAGGACAAAAAAGATTCATAGGAAATGAATTTACACATTAGCAACAAGTTAAATGTTTACATTACTAGAACAGAAGTTTCTAAACTCTTTTTTCTTTTTTTCCGAGACAGGGTTTCTCTGTGTAGCCCTGGCTGTCCTAGAACTCACTCTGTAGACCAGGCTAGCCTCGAACTCTCAAACTCAAAAATCCATCTGCCTCTGCCTCCCAAGTGCTGGGATTAAAGGTGTGCACCACCACCGCCCGGCGTTTCTAAACTCAATTAAAAACAAAAAGATGAGAAAAATCTTAAAACTAGATTATGATCCCAAATAATCTATGTATTTTTCATGCCTGACATGACGTGGTCTAAGAAAATTTCTTTCTGAGGAAATGAATCAAATGAAGCAAAGGAGGAAGGGCTTGCTACTAATTAATTTTTCTAAGCCTGAAAGTATAATCTTTGCACTGTCAAAGGCTTGGTACTTGACTCAGACATTTAAAATATAAAAAAGTTCTTAAAGCAAGGCACACTTGTATAGTACAAATATCAAACTTAAGAGGCTGGGCATGGTAATAACACATGCCTTAGTTCCCAAATTCTGGAGGCAGAGGCAGGCAGAGCTCTGTGAGGCCAGCCTGCTCTACTTAGTGAGTTTCAGGCTAGCTAGAGATACAAGGAGGATTTGTCTTGAAACAAACAAACAAACAACAACCAAAGCAAGGGTCCTGGGGGAGGGAAACAGCAAACAGAAAAGTGTACAGCTTATACTGGCCAGCCCTGAGAGCTGACATGTGCAGTGGTTCGAACTTGTAATCCTGGTACTCAGTAGACTGAAGCAAAGAGGATTGCCCTGAGCTCTAAGCCAGCCTAGGTTGCAAAGTAAAGCATTTAATAAAGGAGTCCTCTAGATGCCCCAGTGAATAAGACACCTGCCTCCACAAGACCTGAAACCCTGAATTCTGTCTGCAACAAGGAGAAAGGAGAGCATGACTTTTTTTTTGGTCCATTACTAAGACCTCATGCAAGTCGAAAAAATGTTTTAAGACTTATTTCTCTCTGTGTGTATGTTTAAGTATGCTACATGTGTGCAGATGCCTAGAAAAGCCAGAAGAGGACACCAAATATCCTTAAATAAGAATTACAGAAGGTTGTAAGCTGACTGCTTTAAGAATAGTAAGCTCTTTTAAACACAGATCCAATGGTATTTCTATTGTTATGTAGTGTTTGTGTCCTAAAAGCATTCAGATGTTAACAACACAGACAATAAAAATATACGGTCTGCTCCTCAAAAACCTCAAGGATCACATACATCACTACCAACAGCCAACTTATTCAATCAAAACTACACAAGCAATTTGAAAGGAAATTAGTAAAGAACAGAATGCCACACTCATGCAGGCAATCCTAATTAAATGCAGTGGGCCTAAATAAGTGAACAAAATGTAGAAGAACTTGTTGAAAAGTAGGGATACAAGGAAAGAGGAAGGGAGCAAGGATTTTGTGTGTGTGTGTGTAAGTATTTTTATTGTGAAAGAATTAAAGTTAGTAAGCTGAGGAAAAGTCAATTTAGGAAACTTAAAGACTCAGAAAGCATAAAATGTTACAAGACTCAATACATTTTTTTTCAGCCTCCCTACGGTTATAAGAACAGAGAAAAATCACTGGGAAGAAACTGTTTATGGAGCTGTCTGCAAGTTATGCGGAGACTTCTAGGGATGCAGCTCCTATGAACTGTTATGAGCTGTTAACTAAGTTTCAAAGTGACACAGCTGTGTTTAAGTCATATGTGGCCCATCCTACAAGAAAATCCCTATATACCCTGCCCCACAAAACTCAATACTAAAAAAAAAAAAAAAAAAGTAATTAATTAATTAAAATTAGAAAAAAATAAATAAATAAACCAAGCTGGGCAGTGGTGGCACATGCCTTTAACCACAGCACTCAAAGGAGTGGCAGGTGGATCTCTTAGTTTGAAGCCAGCCTAGTCCAGCACAGCTGAGGGGGGAGTCCTCAGACAGAGAAATATAGAATACCTACCCATAATTTCTGGAAATGCTAGACGAGGTAGTTTCTTTTGCACTGGAAGCACCCGTGAGGTCCACATCTGAGGTATTGGATGAATGTGCAATTCCCTCAGTTCTCCTGAGACAAAAGAATTTAAATGATATAACAACTATATTACATAACAATAGAAATACTAATTCCTTCACAAAGAAAATTCCTAGGAAAGAAAAAAATGAACTATTTACCCTATAGAACAAGGTAAATCCAACGTAGGATTCTCTGAAATTGATTCCTTATCCTGGAAAATTACAAAAAAATAAATTTTAAAGAAAAAAAATTAATACATAAAGGGCAATTCTACTGTTATTGGAATAAAACATTCACTTCTCAATAATTACAAGAATCTTTACTGAGAACATATGCAAACAAATCCTCTTACCAAAGGTAGCTCAGCCGTTTTTTGAATCATTTTTCTTGTATATGGGCCAGGAGGACGACCTACAGATTTTTTCTTTCCTTTTTTTTCTATCCCATTGCTTACTTTCCTGAAACAAAGACTGTATTTAATCCTTGCATAAAGCAAAAATGACAATGGTTTTACATAGCTAAATAATTTTAATTCTATTTTTAAAGTTTTCAGGAAAAGGGTGCTCTCTTACTATAAATCTAATATATGCTTATCACTTCAAGATTTTAAAAAATTAAAATCACCAAAAAGCCATACTAGCTAAAAGATTTTAAAACTTTAACTTATTTCTTACTACTTAGGAGGGGAAGGTTTCAAGAATTTGCTACTAAAAATGACTACAAAATTAGCTAACCTTGTGAAAATACCTATATTAAAAATTTCACTAATGGCCGGGCGGTGGTGGCGCACGCCTTTAATCCCAGCACTTGGGAGGCAGAGGCAGGCGGATTTCTGAGTTCAAGGCCAGCCTGGTCTACAGAGTGAGTTCCAGGACAGCCAGGACTACACAGAGAAACCCTGTCTCGAAAAAACAAAAATCCACTATCAACAGTTTCTCTTTAAATACACAGTCTCAAATATCATATATTCGTGTATGTAAAGGAACACTTGTAATACCATCAGAAAGAGGATAAAGGAGAAACAAGAAATCTTCTATACTGAGACAGAGCCTCTGACAGTTCACAATACAAACTAGAAAATCATTCGAAAAGCATATATGTACCAAGTAGTAAAAAGTTGTATAGACAAGGATATAGCCAACAAAGAGAAGAATGAAAGGAACAGACAGGAACATGAACAACAGCTGCTACACAAAAGCATAGAAGGGACACAAAGATGCTTCCTGTGCTAAAGGACTCACAACATAGACGTTCACCAATAAATACAAGCAAGCTGACAAAATCAAGTGCCATGAGGATGCAAAGTACAAAGAAAGAAAAAGACCAACACTATAGCAGACTAGAAAGAAGGAGCAGGAAAACTCCAAGTAGGAGGATAAGGAGGGGAAGGGGGGAGAGGAAGACCTAGAGGTCAGAACTCTTAAGGACAAGGATGGATGGGATACGCATTTTTACAAAATAACCTAACATGTAAAGAGGACCACCAAAGGAAAAGTAATAGTACACTTAGCCTTGAAAGGACTGAGCATACGCAGGGTCCACAAGAAGGCGGATGCTTTCAAGAAAGATGAGCCCTTGTTGGTAGTACTTGATAATCTGAGAGCTATCACAGACCAAGTACACCCTGACATCACAGCAGCGGGTTAGGGTTAGGGTTAGGGTTAGGGTTGGGTTAGGCATGTGATGTTTGTGGGACTCTCATTTCTTTCTTTCTTTCTTTTTTTTTTTTGTTTTTTTTTGTTTTACACAGGGTTTCTCTGTGTAGCCCCGGCTGTCCTGGAACTCACTCTGCAGACCTGGCGGGACTCTCATTTTTAATTCATAAAGGCAACTGAGAATAAAAGACTAGGTCAAACTGGAAAATGGCAGGAACATTATTTTTTTCCTTTCTCAACAATACTGTAAATATGTATGTACTTTATTAAAATGGCTATATGGTATCATTAATGTTATGTAAATATATTTCCCTCCTTCTCCTCCTCCTTTTCTTCTTCCTTTTTTTTTTTTTCTAGACAGTGTTCTCTGTGCAGCCCTGGCTGTCCTGGAACTCTCTGTAGACCAGGCTGGCCTCGAATTCAGAAAACCGCTTGCCTCTGCCTCCCAAGTGCTGGGATTAAAGGCGTGTGCCACCACCACCCGGCTTCCCTACTCTTTTTGTTCTTGCTAGAATTTCACTCTGCATACAGCTCTTTCAAGCAGCCTTACTGACCTCACACTTCCTTGAGAAGATAGAATACCAAAGTCTACGTTAAGTCTCTAATTTCTACAAGCATATACTTTGCTTTTTTTTTTTTCAAACCATTTCATCAGAAAGGTGTTTCTCCTGCTACCAAAGTTATTCTCAGACTGAGGCAATAGAACCTTCCCTTTGCTTTTCAATGAGGCTTGACTTAATGCTCATCTTTGGTTATTCACTAGGCCATTCTTGGTACACAAAAACAGATTCCAATTATTTCCTAACTACTAAAATAGCCGTTATGTTCTACTGTCTTCTGCTGCCAGTCCACTGGTGTGCTTCACTTTACAGCAAAACCTCTCAGCCCTGACATTTCCTCTTCACTCTCTTCTGTTTAACTCAGTTTCCTTTTATACCCTTTTTATGTCCTCTTCCCTTCATGATCACCATTATTCTGAATGTTAGTATCCCTGACATGCAGAAGCATAGCTCTTAGTACACGAATCACAAAGTATGGGTTCAGACATACTCCAACTCATTCCAATCTTACTGCCAACTCTAAATAAACTGCTTTCGTCAATGTCACTAATAACAAAATGTTACAGCATCCTCTCATGTTTTACTAGCATCCGATATAATTTCTCGTTTTTCTTGAAACAATTCCTTTGTTTTGGTTTACATGACACCAATACTCCTGCTTTCATTCTATCATGATGGTCATTCTGTTTCAATCTCCTTTGTTTTATACCTTATGTTTTATAAATCTCCAAATATCTAAATTCAGACATCAACCCACTCTCTTTTCTAGTTGTTCGCTAGATCATTTTATTCATTCTCCTGACTTTATAAATCGGCTTTCAAGTTTATATCATCTGTCCTGACCTGTCTATGTACTCCTTATCTAAAAATCAAAGTTACCTACACATCACCATTTAGATATGTGTCTTAAGAATCTCAACTCAAGAACAGAACAAGAAATGTCCCCACCCACCCCACCATCACATTTTTCTCTATCTTAGTAAAAACCAGCGTCCATGAGTTGTTGAATTCTGTTAACTTATTCCTCTTTTTCCCTCATAAATTTCATTCAGTAGCAAATCTGATCAATTCTGCCCCCAAAGCAGTCGGTATCAACCCTATTCACTCCACTTGACTGTTCCCACAACTCCGGCACAAGCACCATCCTGACAAAGCCAAGTCTTTACCTTTTCCCACTTTTCTTACCTCTGTACTACCTTACAAAGAATTTTTAAAAAATAATTAGAACTGTTTACCTAATTAAAATGTTTAGCGAGGGTAGAGTATCCTTATCTACAAGTTGCTGTGTGATCAAGAGTCATCCAGTTTTAAGTATCTAATCCCTATTCTTTAACCTCCATTCATATCAAACTAGTCTTCGGTGAGTTCCGAGACTATGTTTTACAGCCTCCACCTCTGCTCCTTTATTCTCCATACTGTCAGAATACTAACAATATATAATCTTACGTAGACCTCCTTCCTTAACCCTTCGCTTTGAAGTACAGTATCTCCCACCTCTACTGACCCCAACAGGTATAAAACAGTGAACTAACTCTAAATGGCATCAGAATATTCATTAATTACTTTATTATTTATTACACATTTTCCTCCCTATAATGTGATCCCATCAAAGAAAGGGGCAAAATCTGTCTTGTCATTAAACCCTCAGCACTTAGAAGGTAAAGGCATCTGACCAAAGTGCTGAGTGTGAAAAGTAAATCAAAACATACAAGAAAACCTAAGTAGTAAGCCCTTTCCTCAAAGGCCAAAGGCCTAACGTAAGTGAACATCTAACATCTCCCTTTCCTTACCACGTCTAAAGGGAATTAGCCTCCCCTAGGGTGGAGCTAGGTCACGGCACCACTCCACTTACACTGTTACACACAGTGTCACATGCCACCCCATAACACACACACACACACTGATAAAAAAAGCTGCACTGCAGACTTTACCTTGAGTCAGATATAGGTTTGGATGCCTTTCTGCCTTTAATTTTAAATTCATGGGATGTTCCTTCAGGTTCTTTCTCTGCTTTGAAAGCCACATTTGGTGGCACAGGAGGAACACGAATTCGCAACCCAAACAAATGCTTCTTCTTCTTTATTTCTTTCCCAGACATAAACCTAAGTTTAAAAAAAAAAAAAAAAAAAAGGACTAAAATTTTAAAAACTGCACATATATATGGAAGGACCTACCCTAGCTTTCATGGAGAACTACCAGATACCACAAAATACTTCACCTTGATTTCTTTTATTCTTATCTACCCCATAGCCAGATACAGATTCTTATCTAAAGACTACATGATATCATGAGTGGAAAGGATAGGACAAAAGTAGAAAAAAGTCCCACATTCCTCTTCCAAATATGGCTTCTAGATTAGGTGTGGTAATAGGCAACTAATGAGGGCTGGTGAGATGGCTCAGTGGTTAAGAGCACTGACTGCTCTTCCAGAGGTCATGAGTTCAAGTCCTAGCAACCACATGGTGGCTCACAACCATCTCTAATGGGATCTGATATCCTCTTGGGGGGGGGGTGTCTGAAGACAGCTACAGTGTACTTTCATATAATAATAATAATAATAGGTAACTAACAATAGACAACAGACTCATGGGAAGCCAAGCTGAGAGAATTATTTAAATTCAGGTTTTTGTGGTTATTACTGTCATCAGACAGGTCTCATTATGAAGGTGAATTGGCTTAAATTCATGATTCTCCTGCCTCAGCTTCCCCAGTACTTGACATCACAGTATGAGCCATTGTTTCTAGCTGTGGCTCAGCCTGAATATATGTCAGTAATGCCATCTCTAAATTAATAATTAAACAATCTCAGGAAGCAAAGAGTCTCAAAAGACTCATTCAGAGTATCTTTATACTACAAAAAAATCTGACCAGAGACAACTTCTAAAAAGGCCATCTCTAAAGATCCAGAATATAAAATGAGTACACAGAAGGCAAGCCATGGGGTTGAAAGCAATTTAGACCCCAATCTGTAAAGCCTGCCAAACATTTCTGTATGCTTTAATTCTACTAGCACATTCCTGGACATAAAACCTGTGTCGGTCAGTTGCTTGAAATGTTTTCCATTTTTATGTACCTAAAGAATGTATACTTCTCATTTCTATCATTAACAGTAACATGTATTTCTGACATGTTAAAGTGGAATTAAGAATTTATTCCAGTAATACTGTATAACTACTCAATTACCTTATACATTTTGAAAATAATTTAAAGATCTAGTTACAAGTAACTAAAACATTAACTAGTAAGAAAATACTGTCAGCTTCAAAACAGCATCTTCTCAAAACCAAAAATTTTATAATACAATAATAGACTGAGAGTCTGTATACATACATTTATAAGAATTTCCTTGTCATTTTGAAAATACTTTCAAGAAATGTAGACATGCTGGATTTAAAGAAGAAAGGAAAGTGGTCTACACAAGAATATAAGATTTATTTTACCAGTGAATTGTCTCCGACCACTCAGACCAGTACTACTCAGTACTGTTTACTCAGTCACTTACTTACTGCTCCTCAGGATGGCAATGACCAGTCTTAAACACAACAGTCTTCACTGTTTGCACATTCCCACCAGCTAACAAGATTTCACTTTATCTTTAGTCGTTTGCATTACAGAACACATCATTAGTAAATATGCTTCTTTAAGAGAGTAGACTAAATCTATGTCCCCATCAGGACACTGATATGCCTCCCACCTACCCATTCTTCCAAGTATTACTCTTTTCTTTTCCAGGCTTCTAGAATCCCTACTTTACTCTGACCAAAAGAGAACAGGACATTAAAACATTGAAAATGGTATGTATTTCTGCCTCACACCAATCCCACAATTCTTAATGCCCTAATTCTTTTCTTACTATCTCCCTTACAGGGATACGTAAAATAAATCCACTTACATGGTCTTGTAATCATTTAATGCCTCCAGAACATGCTCATATCTTTCAGATTTGGGTGTGTCTGCCAGCTGTGAAGTATCAAGAAACAATTTAACACACTGTAAGTTCATTCATTGATAATAAATATACAGGTGCTAACAGAGCCATAGGATGTGTGATCAGACCTGTTAATACACTATAAGTCCATCCACTGATAATACACAGGTGCTAACAGAGCTGACCAATGTGTGCTCAGACTCAGCATCTCTCTATTCTGGGTCCTCACTAAATTACTATGTGACCTACCTACTGCCATTGAACCTTTCAAGACTTACTTTCTGTGTTACAAGAGAAGTTTCAATTTTACACCCATTTTGTTATTAGTTTATTACATGAAATAAGTATATGTGTAGAATGGCATACTATAAACACTACAAAACTGACAGTACTAGTTGTATTCAATTTCTTATAGCTCTATAACTTAGGGAAATACCTCTAATATTACATATAATCTTCACAATAATAAAAACAAGAAAAATGTGCAACTTGAAGGGTTATTTTCACAATTAGCAGATTGAGTTCTTCACTTGATATGACCTTGGGCTTGGGAACTTAAACTAGTGAAGAGTATTTATTCTTCGTGTCAGATATAGTCTCAGTCTCTCTCTCTCTCTCTCTCTCTCTCTCTCTCTCTCTCTCTCTCTCTCTTTCTCCCTCCCTCCCTCCCCCAAATAGCTCAGCACCTTCTCAACTTCACTTGGGTCTTTTGTTTGTTTATTTTCTCTTTTGGCTTTTTAAAAAAAAAAATTTTTTTTATGTAGATGAGTACACTGTCACTGTCTTCAGACACACCACAAGAGGGCATCAGTTCCGATTACAGATGGTTGTGAGCCACCATGTGGTTGCTGGGAATTGAACTCATGACTTCTGGAAGAGCAGCCAGTGCTCTTAACCTGCTAAGCCATTTCTCACGACCTCTTTTGGCTTTTCAAGACAGTGTTTCTCTGTGTGCCCTGACTATCCTGGAATTCATTCTGTAGACTAGACTGGCCTCAAACTCAGAGATCCACCTTCCTCTGCCTACCAAGTGCTGGGATAAATGGCGGGAACCACCACAGCCCAGTTCACAGACCTCTTTTTAAAATCTATACATTCACTTGGCAGTGATGGCACACAACTATGATCCCAGCACTTAGGAGGGAGGGACGGGGGGGGGGGGAGACAGAGAGGGAGAGAGAGACTGAGACTATATAATCTGACACAAAGAATGCTTTTGACTAGTTGAAGTTCCCAAGCCCAAGGTCATATCAAGTGAAGAACGCAATCTGCCAAAATCAACGTTGGAGTGAGAAGAGGCTCACAAGTCACTCTGTTCTACAGATGAGTTAATGTAAAAGTAGTTAGGAAACCTTTGTATAATGCCTGCAAGACAGGAATCTGCCACCATGCAGCCTAGATTGGAGCTAGCCAGCCCAGTCTAAGCTCTGATATATTAATGAACTAGTCATGAGACAACTCAGAGGGAAGTCAAGCCCAAGACCTGCCTTGGTAACAAACTAACCTAAAGGTGGCACTGACATGTTAGTGAACCAACCCCAAGCTGTGAACCCTGAAAGCACAAAACTAAAGTCCAGTGAACAATAAAAAACTGGAACTGTAAAAGCAGCCCCTAGAGCTATACTACAAAGCTCCCGAGATGTGGCTTCTCAAGCCTCTGCCTTGATATCCTTTAGCAAGAGGACTTTATGACTGACCTGTGGGTAGGCCTAACTCCAGTGACCATTCAACTTCTGGCTCTCAGTGCAAGATGGTGGGTAATGTTCAAGGTCCTCTACCACTGCCATTCTCCCAGACTGTCATGTCCCAGACTTCACAGTGGACATGGTTCAAGCCTGAAAAACTTTTTCACTGGACACCACTGCCCAGTGGAAGCCTGCACAGCATTTTCTGCTTGCCTGGTTGTTGGCCACTTGGTAAGAAGTCTACCTAACTTTTATATTAGCATGGTATTATACAGAATGTTTGGGTGAATAAACCAAGTATATTCCAAAGACAAATGGTGTGTGGACATCCTAAGTGCCAAACACTTCACAGCCCACAGGCCATACAAAGGTAAAATGAACGCTTAAATTCTCCTAGTTAGAAAGAATGCCAGAACCTAAACACAGGTGGTTATTCTTTCAGCACTGCTGGTGCTAGTGCTAGCTGTACTAAGTCAATTATGCTCATCACTATCAGACTGTTCTCCCATCTGAGATACCCATAACAGAGTTTGGAGGGAGTTTTGATGATTGAATATAGGGAGGGCTTCACAGATCAAAAGCATGTGCTTGCAGGGTTTGGTGGCACATGCCTTTAATTCCAGTACTCGGAAGGCTTTGAGTTAAGGTCAATCAGGTCCACACAGTAAGTTCCAAGACAGCCAGAGATAGAGAGACTTGTCTCAAAATAACAAAGGGGCTGGAGAGACAGCTTAGCCATTAAAACCACTGGCTCCTCTTCCAGGTCTTAAATTCAATTCCCAGCAACCACATGGTAGCTCACAATCATCTGTAATGAGATCCAAGGCCCTCTTCTAGTGTGTCTGAACACAGCAACAGTATACTCACATACATAAAATAAATAAATCTTTTAAAAAAATAACAAATAAAAAAGCAGCACATACTCAACCCTCTAAAGTACAACCTCAGAAACAGAATTTCTATTTAAGGAAGAATGAATAAGCAGACTTTGAAGTTAGCAAGAAAATAAGCCCTGGACCTAACTCAACCTTTCATCAGGACTACAATCTTTTTTATAAGAGACCAAGTTATCTATTCTTAGCTTAATATTACTACTGGTAACAGCTAAATCATTTATTGAACCTCAATTGGTAAGCACTGAAGTTGAGCACAAACTCTCTTAAACTCTTCCATTTTACAAGACAACTCTGCAAATATCTGAAAACAGATTTCATAAGTTTGAAACCAAGTTCAAGTTTCTAATAGGTCACATCATGGGATTACTTCATATAAACTGTTTAAATGATCTTCCGGTTTCCCCTCTTATCATTCAAATCTGAAGTCTTATCAGGAGTTATAATCAAATCAAAAATCCCTATTATATATCTGTATTATTATTTTTTTGGGGGGGGAAGGGGGGGGTTTCGAGACAGGGTTTCTCTGTGTAGCCCTGGCTCACTCTGTAGTCCAGGCTGGCCTCGAACTCAGAAATCTGCCTGCCTCTGCCTCCCAAGTGCTGGGATCAAAGGCATACACCACCATTGCCTGGCTCTTTTTGCTTTTTTGAGCAGGAGGTTCAAGCATTCCAGGCTGACCTTCAAGGTTCAACTTCCCATCTTTCTGTATCCATCTCCTAAGTACTGGATTACAGGCATGTTCCTGGTTTTATCTGGTATTAGGGATTAACCCAGGGCTTCTTCATGCTAGGCAAGAACTCTATCATCTAAGCTACATCTGCAGGCCCCTATAATTTTTTTATTTTTTAAATGTGTGGAATATGGGGAAAGACAAAGTTTTGCTTTATAGCCCAGTTGATCCAAAACTTGTAACAATAGGTGTCTGCAACCATATTCAGCTTGCCTCTGAGTATCTCACTCAATTGTACGCTATTGGCTTTGAACCTGTGATCCTATGCAATTACCTTCTAAGTAGCTGGGATTATAGCACTAATAGGCTTTATTTTTATTTTATATTCTTGGAGAAATAATATTCACAATGTATCCCTGGCTGGCCTAGAACACCATACATAGATTAGGCTGGAATCAAACTCACAGTGTTCTCCCTGCCTTCCAAATGCTGTGATCAAAGATGTGTGCCAATTCTTGTTTTCAGCTCAAATTTTCAGGTATTTTCTCTTAATCTCAGCATCCTTTCGAAAGACAAAACAGAACTTTGGCCCTCTTTTACAAGCTCCATCAATATTTCCCAAACTAGTTTTCTTACTGTTTTTTAAGTCAGCTACAAATCCACTTAACTTTTATTTAATTAGTCTGTATTTCAATATCTTATTTGAAGTCAGTTTATAATTTTGTGTATATCATGTCCACAGCATTTGATAAGACAGTGTTGCATATCTGAAAAAACAATACTTATAATATTTACTCCTGCCGGGCGGTGGTGGCACACGCCTTTAATCCCAGCACGTGGGAGGCAGAGGCAGGTGGATTTCTGCGAGAGTTCGAGGCCAGCCTGGTCTACAGAGTGAGTTCCAAGACAGCCAGGGCTACACAGAGAAACCCTGTCTCGAAAAACCAAAAAATAAAAAATAAAAAATAATATTTACTCTTTATAGGAGTAAAGTTTTTAAATTGCTTTAAAAACTTCAAAATTAACTTACCTGAAATACTGACTTCCTATTTTGCTGAGAATCAACAAAAAAACTGATCTCCTAGTTCTGAAACCTACTTTTTTCTATTTTTTTAAAATTACAGTATCTAGGCAGGGTGGTATATTCTTTTCATCCCAGCACTCAGGAGGCAGAGGCAAAAGGATCTCTGAGTTCAAGGTCAGCCTGGTCCTCAGAGTAAGTTCTAGAACAGCCAGAACTACACAAAGAAACCCTGTCTTGAAAAAAAAAAAGAAAAAAAAAGAATGGGAAGGGGGAGAGGGAGAGGAAAAAGAAGAGAGAAGGGGAAGAGAAGGAGAGGGAGAAAAGGACAGGGAGAGAAGGAAGAAGGGAAGGGAGAGAAGTGGGAGAAAGGGAGAGAGAAAGAAAAAGTATCTGTGAGAGCCACAGAAACAACTTTCAATACTTACTCCCCATGTTTTTTCTCCAATTTTACCTCCTCTCCCTGTTTTGTGCAGAATGCTATCTTTTAACTCGTGTAACAGGGTGAAAGGCTCTCATTCTGTGTTTTACAATCTGAAGTGCAACTACAGAGTTTGTATAGATTGGATTGTCTGTATCAGAATCATGTTATATGCTAAGTGCTCCATCTGATTGTTAGGGCTAAGCGAGTCTTGTCACCAACATACACGTACATTTTCATTGTTTAGGGCTTGTTTTTGAGACAAGGTATTACTATATATATGTAAGCCTACGTTGGCCTTGTGAAATTATGATCCTCCTGCATCATCCTGAATAGATTATAGGTATGCTATCAAATGCCCAGATCATAATATACTTAGCTTCAGATTTATATATTTCTATACAAATATAAATATTATTTAAAATATAATTCTTCCTTTAATAAAACATAGCCTTTAACAAGAGTTTTCCCTACCTATCCAATACAATATATAACATACAAGGTCCTAAGTATTGCTGTTATTCAGATTTCTTATTTTACTTAAAAATATACATTCTACTACACTTCATGGACTCCAGACATCTTTCTCCCACAGTATCTACTGAGTTCCTCCGCCTTTCTTCTCAAAAGGAAGGCAGCTGTCAGTCTTAGGGGATTAAGGTTTTAAGACTACAATTTTTCAATTTTTCTTTTTTTTGGTTTTTCGAGTCAGGGTTTCTCTGTACAGCCCTGGCTGTCCTGGAACTCACTCTGTAGACCAGGCTGGCCTCGAACTCAGAAATCCACCTGCCTCTGCCTCCCAAGTGCTGGGATTAAAGGCGTGCGCCACCACCGCCCGGCTTAAGACTACAATTAACATAAATTGAGCTACTTTAAAAATGAAGTTTTAAAATAAATCACAGTAGGAATAAAAGACAACTGATATCTGGCAGAGTCCAGAATGTATTAGTATCTTAGTTAAACCCACCAAAGCAATCTAATACAATAGCAACACTTCAACTAAAAACATTAAAACAAACTTTATTGTGGTCTCAAATTTAATAATTATAAAAGTGTTTTTATTATCCATTATCATGCAGGAAGCTATCATCCTGTGAGTCAACACTTGGGAGACAGATGCAGGAAAATCACTGTCTAAGTTTCAAGCCAAGCTGGTCTACACAGAAAGTTCTAGGCAAGCTACGGCTATACAGTGAGGCTGTATCCAAAGTAAATAAATAAGTAAACACTCTCAAATCTGTCATTACCTTCTAATGATAGCTTTAAAAACTCTAAAAACAGGCACAGTGGCACATACCCTCAATCTCAGCACGCAAAAGACGGGGAACTCTTGAGTTGGAGGCCACCATGGCCTATATGACTGAGTTCCAGAACAGGATTACATAGAGAGAGGCTTTCTCAAAAAAGCAATGACAATGCTATAAGTCTGATGTACAAACTAAATATGTGTATATTATTGTGTCCCTGGTGCCCCATGAAATTGTAAACCCCACCGCATCTTTGGTACCCTATTTAATGTAATCTCTAGCACCAAAGCCACACAGAAATTCCTCATAAACTTCCAGTTAGCTGACACAATTTTACAAGATTACATTTGTAACTACATTGCATACAATCCCATATATTGTAAAAAAAAACTTTTCACCCAAGTAGTTAATAATCCATACTTTAAAATTGCTATTGTATTCATATGTGTACATGATATGCATGTAGGAGTCAAATAATTTTATATAATCAATTTTCTCCTTTCATACTTATATGCATTACAGAGATAAAACTCTTGGCAAGTACCTTACCCACTGAGTAATCTCACTGGCCCAATAATCTGTATTTTAATAACTTTAAGTAAAAAGTAAAAATACCAGAAAACTTAAATTTTCACTTTGCATTATTTTATAGCTCCAAGATCTTTTTAACGAGCTTATATTTTTTTGTATCTTACTTTTTCTTCTTCAGACAAGCTCCTGCTCTGTAGCGTGGGCTAACCTTCCACCCACAGCAGTTGGATTATAGTTCTAGACTCATTCTCCAAAAGCTCTCTGTAAAACTAGCACAAGTAGATAACCCTTTACAGAGGAGACATCAGAAGTCATTCTGTACTAAGTATTCTATTTGGTTTTTTTGTTTGTTTGTTTTTGGTGTTTCGAGACAGGGTTTCTCTGTGTAGCCCTGGCTGTCCTGGAACTCACTCTGTAGACCAGGCTGGTCTTGAACTCAGAAATCTGCCTGCCTCTGCCTCCCAAGTGCTGGGATTCAAGACATGCGCCACCATCGCCCGGCCTGTACTAAGTATTCTAATACTGACTGATCCCATCTTTCCTTGACAGAGATATTTAAGATATATAAGATGTGTAAGAGAAAAAGAATAATACTGGTTACTTCTCTTAAGATTTTCTATAGAAAACTGAAAAGGGGAAATCATAAGATACCCAATAAACATTTTTTTTTCCTAGCAGATCTTTAACTACAATGGCTCTGACTTAAGAATATGGAAGAATCGAGTAACTTATTTCCATCAAGTTTCCAAAAACAAGAAAATAAGACAATAGTTCTGATATCCTTACCAAAGTGTATTCGCTCACAAAAAAATTAAATAAATAAAAAATTAAACCTCAGTTGTCTGACTTGTTCATATGTCTTCTTAGTTTTTCACAAAAACAATGCATAGACATCAAGGAGCTCTGAGCCACCTACCTCTCCAGGGTGCAATCTATCCCAGTTTTCATTAATGTATGTCATAAGCTCAAGTTCAGAATCAAAGTATTTCTTCTTGTGAATAACACTTAGGTTGTAAAGGCATAGGTGTGCTATATCTACCCTGAAATCCAAAAATAATCAAAATAGACGAAAACTGTTTTTGATTATTGTTAACAATCAGTTTCTTTATAAAACTAGTATATATAATACAACCAAAGTGACATGCTGAGCTGGACAGGTGTCAATAACTTAAATCCTAGTCACAGTACAACAGACTGATACATATGAATCAACTGGAAAACACTAGGTTAACTTATCTGGAATATTATAAACTAAAATGTACCCAAATTACTTCCTAAATGCATTTTTAAAAGGTCTGGCTATAGGAAAAATGATTTACAATTAAGACCTTTGGTTCACTGCAAGGAAACCACAAGGCAGACTACACATTACTGGGTCTGTGCCATCACCTGTTCTTAAACACATAAAGCAAATAAAAAATTGTAAAATCATAGTATACTCATTTTATTAGATCTCCAAAATTCTTAAATATCTAATAAATTATCACTACATGGAAGCAGAAACTGTTATTTTATTTTATGTGATACTCTGAAGGCATAAAATGTTGGAAACAGAGGAAAACTTAAGGGCATAAAAGACCACTGAAAGTAACCTTCCACAATGAGCAGCCTTACTAACATAACGATAAAATGGCTAATCCTGAAGCCAGTATAAGCCTTGAGGATTACTAAAAGAAATAAAAACCAGGTATAGAGAACAATATTCTATTTACATTTCATATGGAAGGTTTTATGTGACCATGGCACTTTTTAACAAGTAGAACCGTTAATGCTTACCACTGTAATGGTAGACGTTTGAGGTATTCTGGTCCAGAACTGCAGACAGAGCAAATAAATGTATAAAACCTAAAGAAAGGAAAAAGAAAGAAAAGAAAAAACAACAACAACAACAACAACAACAAAGTTTTACACTGAGTAATCAAACTAGTTAATGATTACAGCCAATATTCAGCAAATGATTTAAGGCTTTATAATGCAAGGACTGATATACAAATCAAAATGTAATTTCAACTATGACACTAATAACCAATAATACTTAACATTCTTATCTGGGGGTAAAGGGTAACTTCTTTAGCCATTAGAGAATTCTCCAGTTATTCGTACTAATAGCTTATGTGTGCCAAAATCATTGATGGCTACTTTTATAAACATTATTTCACCCAATGTTCAAAAGGAGCTATAAAATAAGCTCAAAAGTAAACCAAGGTCAAAAGGACACTTATTCTTACTTAAACCAACATTTAACCCAAGAGATCAGTAAGGCAACTTTAACAATCTCTCTTAGCTCTCTTCCTCCAGCTCACTGTCTTACCCTAATATCCTAGCATACAAAGTACACGGTATCTGCTTTCACAAGTTTGCACAGTTGATATACAATTTGTTTCTAATAAGATCCTATGATCTTTCAATTCTCACAGTATTCCTTTGAGCTTCAGGAATGGAAGGAATCAATGAGAATAATTTTTGAGAACTGTAGCGTGATAGAAACAAATGTAATCACTGAGACAATATTTTAAAAGCTTTCTGAAATAATATTCAAAAGCACAGAATAAAATATATAAAGCACATTTACTATTCAGTATTTTCAATCTGAATTGATCCCTTTGTCACATCATTGTCAAAATTAGTTTTGGAAATCTGAAACTGCAAAATAACCACAATTACAAAGCAGCCATGACAAACCAATTATTAAAATTCAAATGTTCTTCTTACCTATCACCAAACAGCATTGGCTTCTGAAGGCATTGGACACAAGCCTCATGAAACCACTGCTTACATTTGCAACACTGCAGCATCTTTAAATACCAGCTACCACGAAATTAAGAAAGAAAGAACAAAAGAAAGAAAGAAAGAAAAGAAATTAATTCTTTTTAAAACAATACACAGTATTATATAAAATAATACTGAGATTAATTACCACTTCACCCAGTTCATGAGGTGCTACGGATCAAGGATCTAGGGCTTCAAGCCTACAGACAGGTACTCTTATAGCTGAGCTACATCCTCGGGATTCTTTACAGCTTCTTTGAGTCTCATTTTGGGGTTGGCTTTGAATTCCTCGTAACAACCACATCCAACTATTTAAAAAAGACTTTTTTTCAACTTGGGTTCTTACTTCTGAACACGTGGACCCTCAACTCCTAGCCAGCTAAGCAGTTCTCAACCACTGAGTATGATTCCTTTAGGATCAAATGACTCTTTCACAGGGATCACCTAAGACTATCAGAAAATACAGATATTTGTATTATGATTCATAACATTAGCAAAATAGTAGCAACAAAAATACTTCTATGATGGGGGAGGGGCCACTACAGCATGAGGAAATAAGTGTATTAAAGGGCTGCTGCATTAGGAAGGGGGAGAACTACTGTCCAAGGATGAAGCAATCACCATTCTCTGTCCTCCAGAGTAACACAACTAAAGACATCAATTCTCTGTATCTTACAAAAGACAGATTAAAAAGTACCAGTGTTTAGCCCAAATTCCAAATGGCCATAGACATTTATGTTTATGAACATTTTATTGTATCTATTTATCTTTCTGTTTATTATAATGAAAACCAAGACAGCAATAAATTTAGTTAGCATGCTTAGAAATCAAAGCAATGCCTCTATCAAGCAAAAAGGGTTTGTGAAAGTTTGTTATAAACTCTATAGATCTGATTCAACAGCTAAAAGCTGCCAAACTGAATCTTCATCTAAGGTTATTTTCTCCTAATTTGTTCTAACAAAATGATATCCTTACTTGAAAACAGTAAGACCTTTCCAAATGTCTTTTTGCCTAGCAACTAATTGTATAAGCAGAATCAAAACAACTGCTATGCCTATGATTACTAGCTATATTCTAGGTGTTCTTCTAAACTCAGAAGTTTAAAGTAGCTACACTATCCAACATAGTTCACATACTTAAGATGTTTAAGAAATAATAATCTGCCTCAAAAAATGACCTAGGCAATTTTTTGGCATGGGGATAGGCATACCCTTAATCCCAGTGAGGCAGAGGCAAGTATAGCTCTGTGAGTTCAAGGCCAGCCTGGTCTACATAGCCTTCTTCAGGTATACCCCTAGCCTGTGACTCTATATTGTTTACCTTTATGACCTTGAGGACTCCAGTTCAACTCTCCCTAAACTCATACTCTCACCTACTACCCATGTTTATCCACTGAGAAATCTTGTCCAAAATTTCCAAATATTTACTAATATTATTTATTTGTATTAAAATTAATAGTGGGGCTGGAGAGATGGCTCAGCGGTTAAGAGCACTGACTGCTCTTCCTGAGTTCAAATCCTAGCAACCACATGGTGGCTCACAACCATCCGTAATGAGATTGGATGCCCTCTTCTGGTGTGTCTGAAGACAGCTACAGTGTATTCATAAATAAAATAAATAAATATTTAAAAAAAAAATTAATAGTGGATCTATAAACATCTTTGCTGACAAAACTTTCACAAATTTTTGTTTAGAGGCACTGTTTTGATTTCTAATTGTGCTAACCCAGTTTATTAAGTTGCAACCCTTCTTTTCCATCATAAACAGTATAATAGAAAGGCATCTATTGGCAAATATTTAAATAACAAAGATGAAGTCAGGTGGTGGTAGTGCTCACCTTTAATCACAGCACCAAGGAGGCAGAGACATGCATATCTTTGTGAGTTCGAAGACAGCCAGGCCTACAGCAGAGTTACAATACAGCTAAGGCTACACAGAGAAACTGTCTTGAAAAACCCAAACAAACAAACAAATAAATGAATAAATAAATGGCTCAAATTATGTCATCTAATTAAAGATGTGATGTTAACTAGATTGGCCAACATCAAATGACTTCCTTTTACAATCTTTTTTTTTTTTGGTTTTTTCAAGACAGGGTTTCTCTGTGTAGCCCTGGCTGTCCTGGAACTCACTCTGTAGACCAGGCTGGCCTCGAACTGAGAAATCTGCCTGCCTCTGCCTCCCAAGTGCTGGGATTAAAGGCATGCGCCACCACCGCCGGGCTTTCTTTTACAATCTTATAGGATGATAATTAATGATAACTGATGGGTGCTACAGCAATGGAATGCTAAATATTAAAAAAAAAACACCTCATTTATGCACCCCCACTTATTAAAGTTCAAATATCTTAGTTGTCAATACTGAAGTTATTAAGTCTCATTTAAAAATAAGATGCCTAAAAAAAAAAAAAGCCGGGCAGTGGTGGCGCATGCCTTTGATCCCAGCACTTGGGAGACAAAGGCAGGTGGATTTCTGAGTTTGAGGCCAGCCTGGTCTACAGAGTGAGTTCCAGGACAGCCAGGGCTACACAGAGAAACCCTGTCTTGAAAAAACAAAAAAAAAAAAAAAAAAAGAAAATACCTGAGGCTGAGAGAGTTCACTGCTCCTGCAGAGGACATGAGTTCTGTTCTCAGCACCTATATTAGGCAGCTCACAACTGCCTGAAATCCAGGTCCAGGAGATCTAATGCCCTCTCTGGCACTGTACTGATGTGCATATTATCCACACAAAGACATATCCACATATACATAATTTAAAATAAAATATAAAATCCTTTAAAATAAATTAAAATAAAAAATAAATATAAAACGCCCAACTTTCTAGTACCTGGATATTGTATTTCTTCAGTAAAATATTTAGAATATAACACAGTATACTGTTTCTTCTGAAAATTGTGTGTGTGTGTGTATACATACATGGAAACTAATAACTGGGAAAGACTAGTTCATCTGGACTATCATTTAACTAATCTATCTCTTAATTGCTCATTCAAATAATATAAAATCTATACCAATTTTTAAATATATAATCACATTAAATATGATATCCAATGAACTGAGTCAACTTCACACTCCAAACTGGCAAAGCAGGCTTCTACAGCACACATTTTCCCCTAGCTTACTTTAATGGCATATGAGGGAGGGAGAGAAAAGGAAAGACCAGGGGAAGGAAGAGGGGAAGTAGTTGTTGGGGGTGGGGGAGAGAAAGAACAGTAGTGTTAACTTTTTTTAACTGATTCTTTCATACATTTGCAATTCTCTACCATTCTCACACAGCAATTAGTGATAAGAAGACAAACCAAGTATGCAGTAAGCACCTGTAACCCTAATGCTCTTGGAAAGGCTTTAAGAATCTGTGGCCAGTTAAGCAGTATATGTAGAGTGAGACCATGCCTCAAACAACAAGAAAAAGAAGTCTTCTTCTTTTTCCTTTTTTTTTTAAAAAAAAAAAAAAAAGGAAAAAGAAGAAGATAATGTACATTAGTAAAAATCACATAAGAAGACATTAACTGTGTTCACTTACTCTCCAGGGCCTCCACAGTAGCAGTAGCACTGCTGGACGTTGGTTTTATGACCTGCATCCCATTCAAGGTCGGCCACACTATAGGGCAATGTCTGCTTCATGACTTGCAATGCTTTGGCATTTGGTCCTTTCTTAAGCGCACCACCCCTCTACATATTAGAGGGAAACCATTGGATAAAGTGAAGGTCAAGTTTTTTAACCAAATTATCTAATTTTTAATTCTATAGTTTAAAAATGCATGACACTTCTGAAATAATTTCCATTCTGAATTTCTATGATACCATATTGTCTAACCTGTTACTAATAATGTATTTATTTTATTGTATTTTTTCAATTTATTATCAGAAAGCACAAAAAAACTACGAGCCATTTAAGGATCATTAATAAAACAACCATTCTTCTAACCAACATTAGCTGCTAATTTCATTCAGAACAAACTTCTCAGTGTACACAGTCATTTCAATGGTAAGGCCTTACAAATTCCATTTAGTAATGTTTAGCTCAAAACACGTTTAAAAGATACCTTCGTGGTTGTTGCAAACACACACTGTCGACAAAGCCACTTTTCATCTGAATCTATCACACTTGCGTCAATATGAGGCGTATGACACAGCTGATGATATCCTTCAGATCAAAAAAAAAAGCAGAAAGCAAATTCTATTTTATTAGCAAGTAATGCAGAACAGGATTTCAAGAGGGTATTTATTTTACTTTTAGTTTTGTTGTTCCCTACATTATAAATGATGAATAGATATTATGATATAAAGTTTCAAACTAGCAAGACAAGTATCTACACTCAATAGGCTAACTCGATATTTAATAAAAACTGAGAAAAATGAATGTTTACCTTGACCACACTTATCACATATAACCATTTCATTCGGAGCTTCTGAATACTCTTCTTGACATATTGTACAGACCATTTCCCCACTCCCAGTGGCTCCTGAAATGCGTAAAGCAACAGTCATGAGGAATTCCACAGAACTTTTATGACTCAGTGTACCCACATGGGCATGTGTTAACTATATCAGAATGTTCAACAAAGCGAGCAACTACGCACAATATTCTCTGTTCAGTTCACTACTTAGTTCCTCCCCTTTCTAACTTAACATGTTTGTCTACATGCTTCAGTCTGTTTTTAGGTATAAGGCATGACTGTTCTTATTTCAAATATAGTATGAATGGTGATGGAGGCCTAGTGTGGTGTTATTATTGGAGGTGTGGCCTTGCTGGAAGAAGTATGTCAATGAGGGGTGGGCTCTGAAGTTTCAAAAGCTCAAGCCAGACCCAGTGTCATTCTCTCTTCCTGCTGTCTTCAGATCCAGATGTAGTACTCTCAGCTCCTCTCCAGCATCATGTCTGCCTGTGTGTCGCCATGCATGACAATTTGAGTAAACCTTTCTTTTTTTTTTTTTAAGATTTATTTAATTAATTAATTATTTATTTATTGGTTTTTCAAGGCAGAGTTTCTCTGTGTAGCCCTGGCTGTCCTGGAACTCACTCTGTAGACCAGGCTGGCCTCGAACTCAGAAATCCACCTGCCTCTGCCTCCCAAGTACTGGGATTAAAGGTGTGCGCCACCACTGCCCTGCTTGGGTAAACCTTTCTTAAGCCCCAGTTAGATGTGTATTTTAAAAATAAGAGTTGCCCTGGTCATGGTGTCTCTTTGAAGCAAAACTCAAACTAACACACTGGGAGAGATTTAGTAACAATAAAGCTTCTCTGCAGAACACTCAGGTTGAGATACTCATCTTTTACATTAGCATCACAGACTTCAGAGACTAGTCAAGGAAGTTATGCGCTCCCTTTCTGGACTTAAGAACAGTTCTTTGTATTTAGTAACTGTAAAAGACAGCAATTATTTCATGGCTTAAATCTAGAAATATAGTGTCTAATAAAGTGCACAAAGAGAATTCTACTGCAACCAAAGTTGGAAGCACCAATTATTTATATGTGTTACCTATGCAAGAAATTACTGTTTCATTAACATTTCTGTTCTAAAATAAACTTCAACAGGGGTGGCTGCATACAACTTTAATCCTAGCACTCAAGCATCAGAAGCAGGAAAATCTCTGAGTTTGAGGTCAAACTGATCTACAGAGTGAGTTCCAGGATAGCTAGGGCTACACAGAGAAATTGTGTCCGGGGGAGTGAGGGAGACACTTCAAGGCTGCATGTTGTAGCACAAACTTGTAATCTCAGCACTCAGGAGGCAGAGGCAGGTGGATCTCTGTGGATCTAGCCTGATCTATATAGTGAGTTCCAAGACAGCTAGACCTACTACACAGTGAGACCCTGACATAGTGAGACCATCTCAGAATAAAGAACAAAAACAAAAAACCATCAAAATTTGAATATATTATCATCTCAACAATATTATCAATTCTAGCATCTCCCTCTTATTTCAATATAGCAAAAATAATATACACTATCTATACATACATAATAAACACTTATAATCTTATGCTATAAATCAAGCATCATGTTATGCTCTTTAAAAACTAACTTTATTTGATGGTTTTTTGGGGAGAAAGTTTCTCTATGTATCCCAATCTGGCCTAGAGCTGACTTTGTTGCCCTTGAACTCCTGCTGCAATGTTTCAGCCTCAGCCTGAGGTGATAGGATCTGAGTGACAGCAGCCTCCACGACCAACAGACTATGTTAATATACTATTTATAAAGAAGTGATAGTCAAGCAGATGAAGGAACTGACCTAAGTACCCTCAGTTAGAAAGTATCAACACTAGATGTCAAACCCAGACGTGCCAGACCATGTTCTCCCCACCACACATTGCTTCTTCTCACCAATACAAGGAAATTCTTCTACCAAAGCATTTTCACACAGCCAGTTTTCAAAATTATAACTTCTAATAGCTGCATAATATTCCATCTAGTGGAAGAAAACAAATTTACTTTATTAACTCTTTATTCTGTAACATATAGGTAACATAGACGTTACCAATTATTTATTAGCCTGCTTCTTTTTTATTATTTACTATTTGTTTACTGAGGTCCTGTGTCCCTTCCAAATTTTGTTTCCTGGTACATTTACTGTGACCTGTTCCATAGCTTCTGGGCTTATGGCTACAGTCAGAGTAGTCAATCTGAGTTGAGCCTTCTTGTGTTAAAAATGTATTGTTTCAAAACAAAGGGTTGAATAGTCTCCATGAGGAGTAGATGCCTAATGACTCCCACCATTTCCATGTGGACTGGTAAGGAAGAAGGCAATTCTACAGAAAAGGAAGTTATTAATCCAATAAACTGTATGTACTCATCTCAAGAAACAAGCCTAAGGCCGGGCAGTGGTGGTGCACGCCTTTAATCCCAGCACTTGGGAGGCAGAGAGGCAGGTGGATTTCTGAGTTTGAGGCCAGCCTGGTCTACATACCAAGTTCCAGGCAGGCCAGGGCTACAGAGTCTGTCTCTCTCAAAAAAAAAAAAAAAAAAAAAAAAAAGCAGCTGGGAAGCAGTGCCACACACCTTTAATCCAGGCCAGCCTGATCCAGGTGATCAAGGACTAAAGAGAAACCATGTGGTAAAAAAAAAAAACAGCAACTACCTAAAAACAAACAAAAAACTACTATTCAGCTCAGTGGCAGTTCTTCCTCTAAGAGATGACCAGAGACCGGTTCCCTGAACCTATAGCTGAGGCTCACAACTGCCTGTGCTCCAGGCTATATCCAGGCTATCTGACACATCTGGCCTCTTCAGTCACTTACACTTTTTTTTTCTATTTTTAAATTAACTTTATTTTTAAATTCAATTTTAATTAAATATAAAATAGTTATAATAAACATTTCCACCTAGCTTCTATCTTTTCAATTATATTTTATTAACAACCTTCTAGAAAAGGGTTTGTTAAATAAATTAAAGTATATTTTTATTTATTTAATGCAACTGCTGGGGCTAGAGATGGCTCAGCAGTTAAAAGCACTGATTGCTCTTCTAGAGGTTCTGAGTTCAATTCCCAGCAACCATATGGTGGCTCACAATCATCTGTAATGGGAGCCAATGGCCTTTTCTGGTGTGTCTGAAGACAGTGACAGCGTACTCACATAAAAATAAATAAATTTTAATGCAACCGCTGAAAGAATAGCCAAAACAGAAACTTACATTGTCAACAGCCATGCAGGAATATATCATTTCATAGAAACAAATAAATAGTAGGCATTTAAAACCTTTCTAAACTTCTGTCTTAACACAATATATGCGCCCCCATTATAATGTACGTTTCTTTTTAATATATAACTTATTTATCTTTATTTTATATGCACTGGTGTTTTGCCTGCATGTCTTTGCAAGGGTGTCAGATCCCCTGGAACTGGAGTTACTGACAGTTGTGAGGTATCATGTGGGTGCGGGGAATTGAATTTGTGTCTCTGGAAGAGCAACCAGTGCTCTTAACCACAAAGTCATCCTCTCCAGGCCATATGTACATTTCTTTAAACAACCAGCATGGCTATATTTTTTCCCAGAAAAAAAAAAGTTTATATATATTTTTATGTAAACTTTTAGAACATATATTAGATAAAAATTACTCTTGAGTTATATAATTATAATTATAAGCAGGTTTCTCTTTCTCTTTTTTATTTTTTTGTTGTATTGTGTTGGATTTCTGTCTAGCCCTGGCTGTCCTGGAACAAGCTCTGGAGTACTATAGATCCACTGCCTCCCAAATGCTGGGATTACCTAGGAGCTACCATCAAATGCTTCTTACAGCACTCTCAAGCACAAGGCACCCACGCACCTGACCCACGAGCTGGGTATTTATCTGACAGGACCTCACGCTCTTACACCTTTCTATCTCTGCACACCACTTCCCCTTTCTACCACTTGAAAAGAAATAAAGGGGACTGGAAAAATGGCTCAGCTTATTCTTGCAGAGAACCCAGATTCAGTGCCCAGCACCAACATGGTGACTTACAACCACCTGGAACTCAAGTTACAGGGGATCTGACACCTCTTCTGACCTCCAGAATCATCAGGCATGTACATGGTACATATATATAAAATGGAAAAAGATGGGATTTAAAAGGAAGAAAGAGGCAGGTAAGTGGTGGTGCATGCCTTTAATCCCAGCACTTGGGAGGCAGAGGCAGGTGGATTTCTGAGTTCGAGGCCAGCCTGGTCTACAGAGTGAGTTCCAGGACGGCCAGAGATACACAGAGAAACCCTGTCTTGAAAAAACCAAAAAAAAA